AAAGAAAGAAAGAAAGAAAGAGAAAGAAAGAAAGAAAGATGGGTGCAGAGAGGTTTGAGAAGGCTCCACTTCTGCCTGAAGAGAGGAAGGGACCAGGAGCCGAGGAGCCCTCAGCCTCAGAAAAGGCAAGAAAGCAGAGCCCACTTCCAGCCTCTGGAATGAACGAACCTGCCAAGGCCTGATCTGTAGCTCCACAAGACTCAGCCAGGATTCTGACATACAGAACTATAAGAGAATATGTGATTGTTGTTTTAAACCACTAAGTTTCAGTACTTTGTTACAGCAGAAACTCTTTTTAAATGTACATTCCTAGGCCTTACCCACATAAATTCTGATTCATTAGTTCTGGGCTGAGAAGATGAATTTGTAATAAGTGCCCCAAGTTACTCTGACCAGGTGCCAAGAATGACACTTTAAGAAAGCATGGCTGATGGTAAGCAACAGAAATATGAAGAAAGAGCCACCACTACTAACACTACATGGACAGAAATGGAGGTTCCGGAGATCGATGAGGCTTTGATGATGCAGGAGCACCTGGGCCAGGATGGGTCTCACGTTTCCAGCCAGAGAAGAAGGAGGAGGCTGAGTGGCTGCACAGAGGAAGGTCCCGCAGAGGGGAGAGTCTCCTCTTGGTTGCACTGGGTCCGCAGCATGGCTGACCAGGTGCCCTAATGAAGGAAGCATCTGAAACTGTGGGCTCAAAGCTAAGCTACAAGCAGGATAAAGTTTGATAATTGAGGGGAAGAAGTTAGATCGGGTTATCGGAGTTACAAGGAGAGAGGGACAGGGCAAGGATCTGCCCACAGGGAACCATAGACCTGGAGGAGGAGAGAGGGCTGGCCAACAAAACAGCAGATTAGAAGAATCAGGGCCACGCGGGCCCTGAGGGCACCAGGCGTTGCAGGAGAGTATTGGCCACAGCATTGGATGCAGCCGAGGATTCTAGGAAGATGCAAGGAGAAAAAAGACGTGAGTCAAGGGAACTTGGTCAAAGTCAAAGCAATAAATCTCCACAGGGTTTGTTTTCTTCATCTATAAAGTGAGAGATTTCAGTTAATTTCTGAGACCTCATTTAGTTCCAAAAAGCTGTGATTCTATGATTTAATAGATCATTTGTGGTTAAGGATGACCACTGAAGAAAAAAACACTGAAAATAATATATAGTAATTGTGCCTTGTAATCTCCTCAATAAGAACAATTTCGTAAATCAGATCATAACGTTCTTCAAATGCACTGGAGAATGTCTAGTTTACCGTAGCCAAGATGTTGTATTTTAGGGCACAATATAAAATGCTCCCTTGACTCCCCCACCCCATGGAAGATCTCAGGTTGAGAGGCCCTGCTGGCCCCGCACGAGGTCCTCTGTGAACACCAGCTCCTCTTCTCCTCTCCTTTCCTCTGTCACAGTGAAGCTCTCTATTGTGGGAGTTGGCCATATTAGGGGCAGACCCTCCTCCCCTCGATGTTACCTCTCTGCCATCTGAGTATCAAGTCAGAGTCTCCTTCTCCCTAAGCCTCCCAAACTGTGGGGACTTACGTGCGAGTGTCATTTCAGTTTTTGTATGACTGTAGATATGTGAAAATGAATATTTGATTGATAAAATCTGATTGTCTTTAAAAATTGTCTTGACCTCCAAGCCCTGGGGCTCCTCCTGACCCCTGTGGGAACCCACCACTTAACTATGCAAGGGCCTGACTCATCGAGTGTCACAGCTTGGGGAAGAAATGCCAGCCATGAGCCAGAGAAACAAAAATGAGGGCCTGTCCCTAAAATGCAGGATCCAAGGGCCTCGAGCTGGATGGAAATCAGGCAACACCTCTCGGAATCCAGGCTCACAGAAAGTCAGTTTCAATTAGAATTTAAAACATCCCTCTTCATGCCACAACTCTTCAGGCCACTGACAAGGTGACAGGACCACACTTTGTACAGGATACAAACATATTCCCCATGGGTGGACAAAGTCACCCCATAGCCCGTCTACACCAAGGAGCTGCACCTGTGCCCTGAGTAGCTGGACGCAATTTTCTATTTTCAGAGAATCCATCTTATGTTGTTCCTCAGCAAATTCTTCCAAAGTACTATTTTCTTTCCTCAATTCCTGGCCTAGCAAGTGTAGAAAGAATACAAAAGGAATGTAAAATATTCTTGGTTGACTTTACACTTAATTATTTAAAAGCAAACAGAAAAAAATAAAATCAAACACATGCAAAAAATTCTTCTAGAGCCTTTCACACACAATTCCAGTTATTGAAATCTTTCATAAAGCAAAGCTAATTAAATAAACAAAGATGTGGCTGAATGGATATGCATTATACTGTGCTTATGGTACTAAATTTTTCATGTTCTAAATATTTCAAATAACATTAATATGATAAGTTATATAAGATTACAGATTAAATGGAGGGGAAAAAGTCACAATGCAAATTATGTGTGCGGTAGCACCCAATTTGCTTCTTTATATAAAATACTAGGAGGAAATTTACTAAAATCTTAGCAAGAAGCTATTTCTAGGTAGCGGGATTACAAATGATGATTATTATTTCTATGTCACTTTACACTTTCCTGTATTTTCTATAACAGAATACATTACCTTGATAATAAGAAATCAATTGTAAATTTTAAAATTAAGTTACAGAATGGTGAATTTAAACCTGAGAAAGAATTGCTGTGGCAGAATCCTCAGCCCATGAGATCGAGAGCACAGGAATTGTGCCATGTGATGAATTATGTTCCTGTGGGAGCACACTCTCTGGGAAAGGGAAGCTATGAGTTATTTGCAATGTCAGGCATCATTGCTGTGTTAGTCCATTCTCTCATTGCTATAAATAACTACCTGAAACTGGGTAATTTATAAAGAAAAGAGGTTTAATTGTCTCACAGTTCCACAGATTGCACAGGAATCATGGCAGCAGGGAGGCCTCAGGAAACTTACAGTTATGGTGGAACGTGAAGGGGAAGCAGGCACATCTTACATGGCCAGAGCAGGAGGAAGAGAGAGAAAGGGGAGGGCCCACACACTTTCAATCAATTAGATCTCGTGAGAACTCACTCACTATCACAAGGAGGGGGAGAGGCTACACACTTTCAAACAATTGGATCTCCTGAGAACTCACTATCACGAGAAAGGGAAGGGGACACACACTTTCAAACAATTACATCTCCTGAGAACTCACTTACTATCATGAGAACAGCACCAAAGGGGAAATCTGCCCCCATGATCCAATCACCTCCCACTAGGCCCCTCCTCCAACATTGAGGATTACAATTCGACATGAGATTTGGGAGGGAACACAAATCCAAACCATATCATTGCTAACCCCCTGCTCACCTCTCTTACAGGTTCTGAGTTCCTGAATGTATCCTCCATCTACAGGAGAGAGGGGGCTCTGGTCCTGACTTGGCTTCCTCCTTTCTTTGCTGGTGGAAGCTGGGTTTCACTGTGTAACTTCTTCTGGCACACTAAGGTCTACTCACAGCAAATGTAAAGTCCTAGAGGTCGATGGCCTTGATGACTGCCTTTCCTGACCTGGTACTGTTTCTAGAGTTTAATTTAATACAAAGCAAAACAATTTTGATGATGGCCTCTGGCTGACTGCTGGAACCCACCATGTGCAGGAATTCATGGCTGAGTGACAGCAGGGGCGCTTCCCTCTCACACATGATGCACAGGCCACCCAGTGAGGCACCTCATCTCCAGGTTGACAGTTCCTGACTGACTCAGGTCTGCCACCTGGAAGAGCATCTGTAATTCTGTATTGTGGAACAGAAAACAATGTGCAGAATACATTCTTTAAAACAAGTACAATGCACGTGGAGGCACCTTTATCATATTCCACATTCTCAACTTTATTTTCTTTTTTCTTCTCTTCCATGGATCTTCCTATTTCTGCATCATGATGAGAGTGTTTTAATTTTTATAACCAAAGAGTACAATTTAGTATCTCATTTTAAATTATGGTGTTCCATACTTTACTTCTTCTTCCAAAAAACAATTACAGAAATTTCTTCAAATTCTAAGAAAAACACTGTGTCTTTCCTTTCCCCAGTATGTTCCCTATAACCATAGGAGCCCTTCAAATACTGCCTAAGTGTAGCAGGGTGAGCCACAGACAAAACTCCTCAGACACCGAGTTAAAGAAGGAAGGGGTTTATTCTTCCAGGGGCATCGGCAAGACTCCTGTCTCAAGAGCCAAGCTCCCTGAATGGGCAATTCCTGTCCCTTTTAAGGGCTCACAACTCGAAGAGGGTGCGTGTGAGAGGGTCATGATTGATTGAGCAAGCAGGGGGTATGTGACAGGGGGCTGCATGCACCAGTAATTAGATCGGAACAAAACAGGATAGGAATTTTCACAGTGCATTTCTATACAATGTCTGTAATCTATAGATAACATAACCAATTAGGTCAGGGGTCAATCTTTAACTACCAGGCCCAGGGTGTGGCACCAGGCTGTCTGCCTGTGGATTTCATTTCTGCCTTTTAGTTTTTACTTCTTCTTTCTTTGGAGGCAGAAATTGGGCACAAGGTGATATGAGGGGTGGTCTCCTTCCTTATGCCCAACTGGACATTCCCTGTCCAGAGCTTCCCCTTTCCCTCGGCCCCCTAGCTGACATCTCTTCATTCTCCTCTCTCCATGACACCTCTCTCCATAACACCCACCCCCACTGCAGGTGCACCTTCTAGCTAATTGCATCATATTGTTCTCTACAAGTCCATTCCCACATTCGTCTTTCCCATAAGCCCCTTAAAGTCAGAGTGTACTATTGTCAGAGGCGTTTGATCCAGAGTAACTCCATCTTGAATAGGGGCTGGGGAAAATAAGGCTGAGACCTACTGGATGGCATTCCGAGATGGTTAGGCATTCTCAGTCACAGGATGGGATAGGAGGTCAGCAGAAGATACAGGCTGCAAAGACCTTGCTGATAAACGAATGTGGTAAAGAAGCTGGCCAAAACTTACCAAAACCAAGATGGTAACAAAAGTGAGCTCTGCTCATCCTCACTATTCATTATACGCTCATTATAATGCATTAGCATGCTAAAAAGACACTGCCACCAGTGCCATGACAGTTTACAAATGCCATGGCAGTATCAGGAAGTTACCCCATCTGGTCTAAAAAGGGGAGGAATAATCATGAATAATCCTCCCCTTTTTTAGCATATAATCAAGAAATAACCATAAAAATAGCCAACTAGCAGGCCTTGGGGCTGCTCTGCCTATGGAGTAGCCATTCTTTACTTTCTTAATAAACTTGCTCTCACTTTACTCTATGAATTCATCTTGAATACTTTCCTGCACTAGGTCCAAGAACCTTTTCTTGGGGTCTGGATCTGGACCCCTTTCTGGTAACACTATAAGCATTTGTATCCTCAGTATGAAATGAGTAACATGCAATGTGTTCTAAATTTGTTGAGTAAATAAGAAAAGAGCTTAACTTTTCCCAAAAGGCAAAGTTAAAGAGGTCTGATCCCGGCCCTCAGTAGCCAGGAGGTCATCTCCCAGGCTTTAGGATGTCATGCCCAATGGAGATGTCTTTGTTTGCCTGGGGACCCTCAGCTAGACAGACAGTAAAAATGTGGTTTAGGGTGGGGGCTTTGGTCCTGCAGCCTTGGCTCAGCCCCCAGAGCAGCTGGAGACTAAAGACAGCCTCACAGGTGGCCAGCTATGCCTGGGTGAGGGACTCCAGTAAAGACTCTGGATGAGGAGACCCAGGTGAGCTTCGCAGCGTGGCAGTGGTCTGGGCACTGTCATCCATCGATACTGAGAAAGTAACACTGTTCTGACTCACAGCAAAAGAACAATGGGAGCCCCATGCTTACAATTATCCTGGGTTCTGTTCCATGTACCTCTTCCCTTGGCTGATTTTAACCTGTGTCTTTTCACTGTAAAAAAAAGATATGGCTAAGAATGTAACAGCTTCCTGTGAGTTCTGTAAGTCCTTCTAGAGAATTATCTAACCTGAGAGTGGTCTTGGGGATCCCCAAACTTTAAGTTAATGTCAGGCAGAAGGTGGTCTTGTGGGAACTGTATTGTCTCCCTAGACCTCACAGCGGGCTAACTTCGCAATAAGTAGCAGGAGAATCTAAGTCTGAGTATTCATTCAGTCTTTATGAATAACCATCTCTCTGATTATTATAAGATATAACAGAAAAAATAGAAAGGAAAAATGCAGAGAATTAAATTTCTGTATCTGAGTCTGGTGGCACACACCTGTAGTCTTAACTACTCAGGAGGCTGAGGCAGGAGGATCCCTTGAGCCTAGGAGTTGGAGATTACAGTGAGCTATGATAGTGCCACTGCACTCCAGTCTGGGCAACAGAACAAGACCCTGTCTCTAAACAAACAAACAAACAAAAAACTCTTAAATGTATGTGTGGGTTTAAGCAATAATTTAGTTTTCATTTAAAGTTAGGCACACGCGTAAATAAAATATACACCATAAAAATTGAAATGAGCACAAAGAAGTTTCCTAAACAAGTAGAGTATTGAAGAAATAGTAGTAATGACTGAAAATAGTCTCTAGGGGTGATAAGGTTTAATAAATAAAAATCCCTAAGGGAGATGCTCAAATATTATAACTTTAAAAGAGATGGTCTGAAAAACAATTTAGTGTCTTTCAGAAGTGAAGAAGATGAATCAAAATACTTTAAAAAGATGCAGAAGTTTTTAAAAAGGAAAATATGTAATTATTAATGTTCACATGCCGGTTGAGCTAAAATATTTATAATTTAGGAAGTTACTGGTATAAACTGAAATCTGAAATTAAGGAGTAGTTTTTAATGTCTGTTAAAGTTTTTAATGTGTTGCAAGAGATCTATTTCAATCCATTTCTTTCCTGCATTTATGAAACTTTAAGCACTAAAGAGTTGAATTTGCTGCCAGCTTTTCTGAGGGTCATTTTGTGCCTGACAACATTCATCCAAATGAGACTAACTACACCACCCACAGGTCAGTGCTGTGCTCCATCCTCTTGCTCCCCAAAAACCAAGTCGTAATGAGCATGCAACCAGAGATCCTTGTTCATAGAAGGTGTCACTGTGTAGAGACTAGTTGGGACATTTCCACAATTCCAGATGCTTGGAGGACTCTCCAAATTCACCTCCTTAGAAAATGAAAAGGCATGCAGACTTGTATGACACAGAAATGGGATGATGTGTGGGCTGGTAGTCTCATTTTTAAAAATACCAGAATAATGAAAGCAAGAAGAATGCAAGTCAAATTACCTCAATATCATACAAATTCACAGCCCTGTGGGACTTGAAAAGGAGCGAAGCGTGACCCATTAGCCATAGGGAAGCTATGAACCCAGTTCTGGTTGAAATTTGGGCTGGGAGGGTCCTAGTCCCACCACTTACCTGCCTGTGACCTTGAGCAAATTACCTAATCTTACCGTGCCTCCATTTCTTTATTCATAAAATAGAGCTTCACATTGTATCTACTTCATCTCACTATTGTTTGGTTCATTGAAATAACTTAGGCCAGCACTAACAATGATTGACATGCAATAAACATGCAGTATACTTTAGTAATAATAATTATTAAAGTCTTAAACTTGGATCTTATAATTGAAGGCATCAAAACACCATAGAACTGATATTTCACACAAAAGTGTTTTATCGTGTTAGGAGATAATAAGAATAGTTTCTTTAAGTCTATGCATCAGAGAGGCATTAATACATATTCTAGTAAAAGCATCAAGTTCTCATAATGCCCAGACATGGCTCTAAGTGCTTTACCCATAACAGTACCTTGACTACTCAAAATAACTCTGCAAGGAGGTGTTACCATCTTTACCTCTCAGGTGAAGAGCTTGGAGTACAGAGAAGTTAACTTGCTTTCCCAAAACCACACTGCTAATAAGTGGAGAAACAAATATTTTTTTTTCTTTTTTTTTATCTTTCTTTTTTTTTATTTTTATTTTTATTTTTTATTATTATTATACTTTAAGTTCTAGGATACATGTGCATAACGTGCAGGTTTGTTACATATGTATACTTGTGCCATGTTGCTGTGCTGCACCCATCAACTCGTCAGCACCCAACAACTCGTCATTTACATCAGGTATAACTCCCAATGCAATCCCTCCCCCCTCCCCCCTCCCCATGATAGGCCCCCGGTGTGTGATGTTCCCCTTCCCGAGTCCAAGTGATCTCATTGTTCAGTTCCCACCTATGAGTGAGAACATGCAGTGTTTGGTTTTCTGTTCTTGTGATAGTTTGCTAAGAATGATGGTTTCCAGCTGCATCCATGTCCCTACAAAGGACACAAACTCATCCTTTTTTATGGCTGCATAGTATTCCATGGTGTATATGTGCCACATTTTCTTAATCCAGTCTGTCACTGATGGACATTTGGGTTGATTCCAAGTCTTTGCTATTGTGAATAGTGCCACAATAAACATACGTGTGCATGTGTCTTTATAGCAGCATGATTCATAATCCTTTGGGTATATACCCAGTAATGGGATGGTTGGGTCATATGGTACATCTAGTTCTAGATCCTTGAGGAATCGCCATACTGTTTTCCATAATGGTTGAACTAGTTTACAATCCCACCAACAGTGTAAAAGTGTTCCTATTTCTCCATATCCTCTCCAGCACCTGTTGTTTCCTGACTTTTTAATGATCGCCATTCTAACTGGTGTGAGATGGTATCTCATTGTGGTTTTGATTTGCATTTCTCTGACGGCCAGTGATGATGAGCATTTGAAACAAATATTATAACTAAAATTTACTTAACTCCAAAATTCAAACCAGGCTGAATGGAACCAAGATAAATTAGAGTCAACAGTGGGAGAGAACCAACATAAATTAGGGTTAATGTGGGTAAGACTCACAATGAAGTAGGGTCACCAGTTGGTAAGGATCAAGATGAAGTAGGATCAAGAATGGTTAGGACTGAGATAAATTAGGATCATCAGTGGGTAAGGACCAAGATGCAGTAAGATCAAAAGTGGGAAAAGATCAAGATGAAGTAGGGTCAACGTTGAGTGAAGACCAAGATGAATTAGGGTTAATAGTGGGTAAGGACCAAGGTAAATTAGGTTCAACATTGGGTGAGAACCAAGCATAATAGTGTTATCGATGGATAAGGACTGAGATGTATTAGGGTCACCAGAGGGTAACGATGACTGCACACATTTATTCATCCAAGAAATATCTGTTGATAATGCTGTGTGCCAGGCGTCGTTTGTCACTAGCGACACATGGATATGTGGAGTATGTCCCTGGCTGACGAACCTAACTTTCCAGTGGATTCTATGCATCTTTACAAGCCATTGATTTTTCCATGCTTCCAGAGCCCACTCCAGGCCCTGCTACTCCAGATCCCAATCCAAGTGGTATACTAGGCAGGAAAGACTCCAGCAGAGAAAATAAGATAAATTTGTATTTAACAAAATACAAGTACAAATGAAACCATCGACTATGGAATGAGCAGGTTGTCTCAATTCCCCTTTCAAGTAAATGGGGAGACCACATCTGACCAGTGTGTAAAATCAAGTCCCATGCAGAAGGATTCCAGCAAGCGTCCTTTACGTATGAAAAGAAAGAAGAAAATTTCCCCGTGAAACATACTCAAAGTAGAGAACAATCTTTTTGATTCCATTGTTATTTTAATCGTATACAGACATAGGGGTCTTTGCACAGTTAAACCTTTCCTTCTTTCATAACTGGATGCAAAGCCCTGGTCCCCCAGACGTCGTAGGACATTACTCCTCAGCTTTACAGCCTGGTGATGTGAAGCGAAACACGATTTCCCCTTTCTTATGGCGGAAAAAAACAGAACACAACTGCAAGGGGCTTTTCCCTCCCCTGCTCGTCCTCTTTCCCCAAATGAATTTTGGTTTGCTGTGAACCCTATTTGGCTGAGGAACTGTTCTTGATGGGGAAATGTAGATCTTGTCTACTCTGTGGCAGGAAAAGGCCTTTTCTTTCATTTTGTAAGAAAGAGGACAGAGTTCCTTCTGCATCTGCTCCAGCTACGCCTGCAGCCCAGCACAGCCAGGTGATGCCATTCCCAAACTGCTCAGCCCCCAACACTGTGGTGGCCACAGCTGTGGGTGTCCTGCTGGGGCTGGAGTGCTGGCTGGGTCTGCTGGGCAACGCGGTGGCGCTGTGGACCTTCCTGTTCCGGGTCAGGGTGTGGAAGCCGTATGCTGTCTATCTGCTCAACCTGGCCCTGGCTGACCTGCTGTTGGCCTCGTGTCTGCCGTTCCTGGCTGTCTTCTACCTGAGCCTCCAGGCTTGGCATCTGGGCCACATGGGCTGCTGGGCCCTGCGCTTCCTGCTGGACCTCAGCCGCAGCGTGGGGGTGGCCTTCCTGGCCGCCGTGGCCTTGGACCGGTACCTCCGTGTGGTCCACCGTCAGCTTAAGGTCAACCTGCTGTCTCCTCGGGCGGCGCTGGGGGTCTCGGGCCTCGTCTGGCTCCTGATGGTCGCCCTCACCTGCCCAGGCTTGCTCATCTCTGAGGCCGCCCAGAACTCCACCAGGTGCCACAGTTTCTACCCCAGGGCAGACGGCTCCTTCAGCGTCATCTGGCAGGAAGCACTCTCCTGCCTTCAGTTTGTCCTCCCCTTTGGCCTCATCGTGTTCTGCAATGCAGGCATCATCAGAGCTCTCCAGAAAAGACTCCGGGAGCCTGAGAAACAGCCCAAGCTTCGGCGGGCCCAGGCACTGGTCACCGTGGTGGTGGTGCTGTTTACTCTATGCTTTCTGCCCTGCTTCCTGACCAGAGTCCTGATGCACATCTTCCAGAATCTGGGGGGCTTCAGGGCCCTGTGTGCAGTGGCTCATACCTCGGAAGTCACGGGCAGCCTCACCTACCTGCACAGTGTGCTCAACCCCGTGGTGTACTGCTTCTCCAGCCCCACCTTCAGGAGCTCCTATCGGAGGGTCTTCCACACCCTCCGAGGCAAAGGGCAGGCAGCAGAGCCCCCAGGTTTCAACCCCAGAGACTCCTATTCCTGACAACAGCCAGCGTCCTCAATGCCCGTGTTTATGAAACTACCTGAGACCTAAATCATAATCACTCCTACTTTGGGATTCTGGAAGAAGAGGAAATCTTGAGACTGCAATACAAGGATCAGAGCATAAACATGGGCACAGTTGCTGCAGGTGTGGTCTTATACTTTGTTGACCGGGATGGTCCTCTGTGATTTTACCTTGTAGAGCGGCAAATCAAAATGAACAAGCCAGAACCTCCTCCTACCCAACTATGATGCAGATTCAGTTGCTGAAGGGAAAAGTCGGGCAGCTACTGCATCTCCACACTTGAAGAAATGTAATTTGCTAAATCCGTGAAGGAAGAGAAGAAAGCCGGGTGCCGGCATCTTTCCAACTCTGCTTGGTCTCAGCAAGTCACTTTCATTTACTGTGCTTCAGTTTTAAATGCAAAAAAAGCTATGTTTTCTTCTCACTTGTTATGCAGACTGGGGATGACCGACATCAGAAAGTGCCCTGGTTCTAAAAGGAGGCTCTGCTGTCTATAAGGTACTGTCGTCCATGCTAGGCTTTATTTGGAGCATAATGTTTTTGTTTCCATAAAATTTTGCTTCATTTTTCTAGATTATACATCATGTTAAGGAAAATGTAGTGAGTTCTCTAGTTTACTGTAAGAAACTTTTTCCTGATACATTTCTGGAATTTGCCTCTAGAGCTGCTTTTTAAGTTTGAATGCCTAAAAGGCTTTTGAAATGTCCTTTGCTTCCCCTGATGTGAAAAAGGGGTCACAGAACTTTATACCTCCTGGGAGAAGTACACAATGTAAGATATCTCGTGGCATTTGAAATGGTCATTTCTAACCCCACTGGCACAGCTGGTGGACAACGGTACACGGGACCTGCCAGGGTTCCATGGGCCACAGTGTGAAGCTGGGCAGGTGTCCAACCCCAGCCCCTGGATGCCGTTACAATGGCTGCATCTTTTCATCTCATTCCTTGTGAATTGTATTCCAAAACTGAGTCTCATGATGATGATAAAAGATTTCCAAAGTCACTTTCCTTGTTGCCTTATCTCTCATTCTCTGCTCAAACCTAGACGCTTGCTTAGGACCAAAAAGCAGTCACCACCATGCCCAGAGGAGGTGGAAGGCCTGCCTTGTCACCGACATGGGCCTCCTGAGCCTCCCTTCAGCCTCCCTGGAGCTGCACTCCTGTTATTCGTGTGCAGAAACTATTCTTTATCTCCTAACACGATACAACACTTTTGTACTAAATATCAGTTCTATGGTGTTTTGATGCCTTCGATTATCCCACAGGGGTAGTCCCAAGCTTTCTGTCAAATTTGAGGCCAAAAATGATGGCTTTAGGCAACAGAAAATGGCAAATCTCCCATCTGCAGAGCTGACGGCTTGCCAGGGAGGTTCCTTATCAGAACCAAATTTGAAATTGGGAGTGGGTTCCACCTGTTCTAAGAAAGGATGTAAAAATCTGCCTAACGAAAGGAATATCATGTGGAATTCTACCAGCATTACTTTGCTACTGTCTGAGGTTTTATTTCCTCCTAAGTTAAAAGAATTTCAAAGGGCTAAGAAAGGAACAGTGACCAGATAGTTGTGAGATGGCTGAATAAAATTCTTTAAGGTGGACATGTTCTACACTGTGCCTGTTTTCTTCCCTTGAAACAGAAAAGAAATATCTTCATTTTTCTTCCCCAATCTTAACACATATATAATTTTAAATGCTGCTTTGAAAAACCTAACATTTAACAGAATCATTTTTTATATCATAATAAATCCCCCATAAGCATTCTTTGAACAGTTACACAATAGTCTACACCATGGGTATTTCTTAACATTTTTCTGCTGTTGGATGTTGAGATCCGTAACTCTCTACGCAGGTGGAATCCACGCAGTGAAGTGGCATGGTCCCCTGACAGACGCCCTGCAGGAATAGACCCCCTGGCAGATGCCCTGCAGGAATAGACGCCCTGTAGGAGTAGACCCCCCGGCAGACGCCCCGTAGGAGTAGACCCCCCGGCAGACGCCCCGTAGGAGTAGACCCCCCGGCAGACGCCCTGTAGGAGTAGACCCCCTGGCAGACGCCCTGTAGGAACAGACCCCCACAGGAGGGATACAGCCCGCCCCTCCACTCACAGGAAAGGCTCTGCAGGCCAGCACTCTGCACGGGGACTTCATGGGGCTACCACCTCTCCCAAACGCCGTGATCTATGCCTTTTTCCCTAGGGGTGCACTGTCTTTTCTCCAGCATGCTGCGACTTTCTGTACGCTCTGCCCTCACTGCATGCATTTTTAGCCTGGGCGAAATCCCCTGTCTCTGGGGAGGTCTCAGCTCCACACTGCTGTCTCTTGAATTCTTTCTAACATCGCCTGGGTGGAGCTAGCCGCCCTCCACTGTGCTCACAGGTGTGCCTGATGCAGTGCTGCAGGCCTGGGGGGGTCCAGAGCTTTTAGGAGGCCCTGATACCTCGGCCAGCCCCAAACGTTCTGGTTCACTTGGCCTGGGGAGGAGCCTGGGCACTGGTAGGTCTGAAGTTCCCTCATTAATTCTATCCATGGGCAGCCAAGTCTGAGACTCGCCAGGTGAGTGGCTCAGGGCCTGGGCAACAACATCCTGCCCCATCACTTCTTAGCTCTGTGACCCGGGACAAATCACTTCACTACTCTCAACTTTCCCCTTCTGTAAAATGGGGATAAAAATGTACCTTGTGGGATTATGGTGGGGATGAGGTAAAATAGCACAAAACATTTAGCACAGAGCCTGGTGTGTCATAAGCGTTCAGTAAATACTAATTTGCTGTTTTTCAGTGATCACACAATTCTATTTTCATCGCTTACTTCCCCAACCAGACTGTGGGGCCTTTCGGGACATAGTTTTCCCCTCTGTATTCTCAACACAGAACCTGGCATGGGAAGGGTGTTTTATGAACTGGAAGTTGACAAGTTCTGTGAAATCAAAGGTTGATTATCATTCTTCTTGGGTAGCAGATCCTTTTGGGATCTTCCGTGGTCCCTCCGTGTGCCTCATTTTGCTTCTCACATCTATGAAATGGGACTTTTCTTGTCCCTCAGGAGGCTGAGGATCACGTGAGTGGCCACCACCTCTGGGGATATTTCTCATGTGTCCAGCCCCATAGCATCAAAGGAGCATCCACAGCACAGCACACAGATGGTGTTTCTTCTTCAAGGAGATGAGATAGCAAGGGTCTTATTCTTCTCCAGGTTATTGTCTCTGAATAAGGAAATGACTCAAAAGGGAAGTGTGGACAGACGGTGAGTGGCGAGTCTCAGGACCACGACTGTTTTGCTGCCAGTAGCAAGTTCCAGTTTCTTTTCTGCTGTGACTCACTTGTTGTGATGAGGCAGGGGCACCGTCATGTCTGAGAGCCATGCAAATCAGCACGGTCAGAATTCTAGCAGATCCAGGAAGGACCGCTGGGAGCTTCAGTCTCCACGGGAGGGATGAATTTCTTCTCCGTACAGAGGCAATGCTATCAGCTGGGAAACTCCGCTAGTTGTTTCTCTTTCTAAAATCTACTGGGCAACAGCTAGAGAAAGCTCGTCCTCTCTTCTCATAATCATTTCTGCCAGTAATAAAATAAACGCTTTCGATTTTCTTAAAGGTCAGGACAATAAAAGAACTCTGCATTTGCCTGTGGGCATGGCTGGGGACTATGAAATGCATTTCGAGACTCTCAGGGGATTCCAGAACATTCCACTAAGTGCTTGTGAGGTCCTCAAATAATACCCATCCTCACAATGCCTCTTTAGCATGTGTGGTAAAAGACACATAAAACGTATCATTCTCATCATTTTTAAGTGCAATTCATTGGCAGTAAGTACATTCACATTGTTGTGCAACCACCACCACCAGCCACCTCCAGAACTCTCCTCAGCTGGTAAAACTGAAACTCTGCCCCATTATACAGCAACCCCAGACTTCCCTTTCCCCGGCCCCTGTCAACAACCACTCTACTTCTTCTCGCTATGGATTTGACCGCTCCATGTTCCTTCTATGACTGGAAACCTATAGGATTTTCCTTTTATGGCAAGATTATTCTACTGAGCATAATATCCTCAAGGCTCACCCAGGTGACAGCCTATGCCAGAATTTCCTTGTTTTCTGAAGGATGAATAGTATTCCACTGCTTGCATACACCACATTCTGCTTATCCACTCATCCGTGGGTTGCCTCCACCTTTTGGTTGCTGTAAATAGTGCTGTTGTGAACACAGGTGTACAAACATCTCTTGGAGAACTACTTGAGTTCTTTTGCATATATACCCGGGAGTGGAATTTCTGAGTCATATGACAATTCAATGTTTGATGTTTTGAGGAACTGCCATATTGTTTTCCACAGCAGCTGCACTTTTTGCATTCCCACCAACAGCACACAAGGGTTCCAGTTTCTTCACATCCTCCCCAGCACTTGTTCTTCTCCAGCTTGTCTGTTTGTTTTTACAGTAGCTCTCCTAATGGATGTGAGGTGGAGAAATGCTTCTTTGAAAATCAGGAAATGCTCAGTATCTTCAGAAACTAAGAAGAAATCTCTGTAGCTGGACCCTGGACACTACAACCAGGCCAACAATAAGTGTATAATGTGGCCACACCACACTCTAGTCCATGAGATCACAGGCCATTTCCATTTTTAAGTCTCCTTTGTCACTGAAATCGCAAGTTAGAGGACAAGTGTATCCAGGAATTCTGTCAGCATGACCGTGATCAGCAGCAGAGTGTCCTCATGGCAGCTCCATGTGCCATTGGATCATCTTCTCTCATGCCCCCGAGCTCTGCAATGAGAATAGGAGCCTGAACCTCCCGTTCCATCACACAGCTAAAAAGCAGCAGCGATAAGACTCAAACTAAGGGCCTACAGGCCTTGAGTCCAGGAAACTGCAGCATCTCCGCTCATCTCATACTCCACATTTTGGTTTGCGGGCTCCCTGGACTGGAAGTTTGTAGGCCCTTAGTTTGGGTCTTGTCTCTGCTCCTCTGTAGCTGTGTGGTCTTG